GCCTGGAGCAAAAGAGCTCAGGGACTGTACCCAGGCCCTGAGTTTAAACCCCACAATTGACAAAAACCAGTATACATATGTGTGTGTGTGTGTGTGTGTGTGTGTGTGTGTGTGTGTATACAAATATACACACACACACACACACACAGATATATATTAGAAATTCATATAATATACATACAAGGGGACCTTGCCATCTCAGATCTGTTACTGTAACAACTGCAACTATTTAGTTGTTATGGGTCTTAAGGGGGTGGATAGAGGGGAGTAAGCTCGTGGAAATTGTTAAGCCACCATTGGATAAATAGTCCCTTGAAGAAATAAATTATTATATCACGTTATAAAACAGTTAACTTCAAAACAACAGAACAAAGCTTTCTAGTCATCAAAATCGTTCAGAAATAGGCAGGCTTCTTCACCAGAACAGAGCTCCAGACTAGAGGGGCTGAGGTACTGGTTGACTGGCCCAGGGAGTTGGGCAAGAGATCCAAACAGTACACAGTCCTCTGCATCTGCCGCTAGCCCACGATGCCTGTCACACACTTCTGAGCAGCCAGTGGCTCATCTCTATAATTCTGGCTAATCAGGAGAGATCTGAGGTCTGCCATTCACAGCCAGCCAGGCAGGAAAGTCCAGGAGACTCTTATCCTCTACTAAACACACACACATACACACACACACACACACACACACACACACAATCAGAATGACATTAACTCTTAGGATTCAGTGTTAAATGTGCCTTCAACAGTCACAACCCCTTAGAATGGTTTGCCAAACCACCAAAATAAGAAGAAAGAACATTGTACTTTTGAGTAATGAATGGTTCAACACTCTTCACATGTTGGGCCGAAGCTCTAAGAAATAAAATGAGTCCAAATTTAAAGCAATGCAACCATTTCACAAGGATACTTTAGGTACCGGTTTTATGCAAGACAGTGCCGGGGAAGGGGGATACAAAACTAGGACAGGGAAATAACTGCTGCCTTCTTTTCCAGCAAGCAGGCCCTTGTCATTTCCTGAAGAAGCAGCTGCTGTTGGCAATGCTGTTACAAACACCATGGCCACTGAGAGAGAAAAGGCACGGGGCCTTGCATCATTCAGCAAGGACCTGGAGAAAACATGGTCTGCCTTTGCTGACAAAAATAAGGAGTGATGTGATCGAAAAAGGGTACCCAATTCCTGCTGCTCTCAGCAGCAAAGGGAAAAAGTGCATCTGTGGTAAGAGAGAATGGCCACAGCCTGACTGGAAGCAAGAGAAGTCCACGGAAAAGCTGAGAACATTCGTCCAGAGGGTGGTGGACAGTAAACAGGCATGCCATGTCTGGCAAGGCTGAGTGCTGGGGAGTCTAAGCTTGCAATGGGCTTCAGCGAGGGACCCCAGGAAGGCTTTCTGGGCAGGGCAATCCTGAACTGACTTAAAGGAAGGGAAAAGCTTGCATGGGAACCACTGGGGAAAGAATGTTCCAGAAGAGTGGAGAATATTCCTGTGAGTGCCAAGGTGTGGGATGGGATAGGAATGGGAGAGCTGCATCTGAGGGAGGAAGGAAGTGGCAGGAGATGAGGTCAGGCATGAAGCAAGATGTGGGGGAGGCAGGTCTCCTGGGATGAATGTCACTTCCCTTTGTCTGGGCGAGTGCCTCCTACAATAACTGGCATCCCCACGTTCTTTGGATGGGCTTTTATTCAGAGAGCAACCAGGGTCTAAACCTCACTGTGTCCCAACATGACTCAGGGGCCCCTTAGAGGCCGCCATCTTCCCTCAGCCCAACCACATGGGCAAATCAGACTGTGGTTACCATGCCCCCAATGTCACACATTTCACCTGTCCCTGCTGCTTTACCTCACTTGAGAGTCAGAGCAGGGGCGTGGTTTATGATCCTGTGCTTCGTCTTGTGCCAGGCTGGTGAAGGCAGGCGAATGACCTTCCAGCTTTCCTGGTAGACCAGACCCACCTCTTGCCAAGAGTCACACAATAACAAATTCCCTAGCACTGGATGGGAAGTTCAGATGCTGAAGTGGCTAAATACTCGTGGATCCTCCCAGATGACCAACCCATCTTCCACTTTCCTACAGCAGCAGCAAATGCTGCTCGCTGTCTGTTGGCTCTCGTCAACCTCATACCATCCTTTCCTATCAACATCAGCCTTCCTTGTTCTTTTCTGGGGGTGCTATTTATTCTCCAGTCCAATGAAGCCTGACCTCACCTCAAGGTCAGAAAACCATTCTTGAGCTAAACCCACAATTTCTGGGGCTGAATGGAACATGTACTGTGATGGCCTCTAAATACAGCCTTTTTCCCAACTCAGTCCTGCAGACATGGTCTATCTTGTGTGTGCAAGCAGATCTGACCTGGTGCATAATTTGCCAGGAGAGCTATAAGAAAAGCTGGGGGATAGGTAGCTTGCTGTAAAACAATGAAGCAAATTGAGTCTACAGTTCTCTTAAATATCATGAAACATTACAAATAGTGCCCTGTTATAGGACTCAGCACTAAACTCATAAAATGAATTTTGAAAGTTAAAAGAATGTTTGCCGGGAAATACTATTCTGTTTCCTTGAGGGAAAATAACCACTTAGGGCAATTTCCAGATAACCAGGTGGAGTAATTAAAAAGAAAGGTAAAATCCGCACTCAGTACTCTGTGCTGACAGCTTACCTAGAGGGGAGGGATGCTTGTAGACAGGAAAGCAGGGGTAGCTCTTTCCTCCACTCTTCTCTGTCTTCTTTGCGCCCAGCACAGTGATGTCCGCAGACTAATACTATGGCCTCCTTGTCTTCTCTCTTTACATGGTGCTGATCATGGTAGGTTCAGGCAACAGTCTTTGTCAGGAGAGTGAGCCTAAAAATCTCTCTTCCCCACATCATCCCTGGGGCACCCTGGCTCTGGCAGTGGCCTCTGTTGAGTGGTCCTGTCCTGTTCCATGGCTCCCTGCTTAGGTTCTCAGGCATGACATGGGAGGAGGGCTCCCATTTTGCTAGTCCCAGGATGTTTCAACATCTGCTCCAGCCCATAACTCTGTATGTATTCCATTCAGTAATTCCCCAGTTAAACCTTTTCTGCTGTGCTGTGCTGTGTGTGTGCATATTTGAACTGGAGCTTGCTCTCAAGGACTGGGCACTGTCCTGTAGCCCTTTTGCTCAGGCTGATATTCTACCACTTGAGCTACAGCCCCACTTCTGACTTTTTTGGTGGCTAGTGGGAGATTGAGTCTCATGATGTTCCTTCCCAGGCTGGCTTCAAACTTTGGTCCTCAGAACTCAGTCTCCTAACTAGCTAGGATTATACATGTGTGCCACAGGATACTGGCTTCTCTTGTGCTTTATCTTGTGCCAGGATTCTCATTGAAACGAGATCTACTGCTGGCCACATCTCTCTTTGCCAAAAAAAAAAAAAAAAAAAGACAACTCACCATCTTCCTCATAACCAGCTCTTTATTGTTACTTAAAGTAACCCAAGTTCAACTTTCAAATAGAATCTCTTTCGCTATCTCACTGTATGAAACCCTTAATACTACTTACAACTGTTTCTAAGCCAGTCCTGGCTACCTTAGGTCATATCGTCATACTGGGTTAGCATCAGAGCTAAAGCCTGTGACTGTCATTTATGCCATCCACTGTTCTCAGCTTTCTAAGCAGGGGAGGACAGCGCTGGGGACTGTGTGGATGCAGGTGGTGGTTTGTGGCTGAGTCGTGAGAAGAGCTATTACTTCTGGACCACAGCAGTTAAACCCTTCTGCCCCGGTTAGCCCAGCAATTTTTGTGACCTTGACAAAATAGGATTAAGAGATAGAGAGGCGTGCCTCAGCCAACCTGGAATAGGCATTGATCAGAGAGACACAGTCTTGAGCTGAGCCGTTTGAGATTGTAACCATATAAAAACCTGCTTGCTCTGCTTCCACAGTGCCCCCATCCAGCATACATACCGCCACTAACCCATCTAGGGTCTTCATGCTTTACCATGTAACATATTTCTAATTGTCCAAGTACAGTTAGTGTGTCTCCCTAAGCTCTTCAGCTCAAAGCTACTGCTCCACCACTTTGAGCCACAGCGCCACTTCCAGTTTTCTGGTGGTTTATTGGAGATAAGAGCCTCATGGGCTTTCCTGCCCCATCTGGCTTTGAACAGAGATCCTCAGATCTCAGCCCCCTGAGTAGCTAGGATTACAGGCGTGAGCCACCAGAAACTGGCTCCAAAGATTCTTCTAAGGCCTATCCCACCCATTCTGGCCTCCGCTCCCACCCTTCCACTGTGGTGAATGGCTTCCTTAGGAACTCCCTGTGCACGCCTCACAGTCCCAAGCCAGGGATTCTTCATGGTTTTCTTTAATGCCTAAGGTATTTTCACACTCTCGATTATTTCCTTCTTTCTAGAATTCCCATTGACCCTAAATTGGATTTTAATTTGTCCTTCTTGACTTTTAGTACTGGGGTTTGAATTCAGGACCAGGGCACTGTCCCTTAGCTTTTCTACTCAAGGCTGGCATGCTACCACTTAGGCTACAGCTCCATTTCAGCTTTGACTGGTTAATTGGAGATAAGGTCTCATGGGCTTTCATGGCCAAGCTGGCTTTGAACGTCCATCTTCAGATCTCAGCCTCTTGAGTAGCTAGGATTACAGGTGTGAGTCACTAGCACTTGACACCCTGACTTCTATAACCTCTCTTCCAGAGTCTAACCCTCATCTCTGTGCTATAACCCACTGATTCCCCTCCCCCCCACAAATGTCTTCCAGTTGACCCCCCCCCCCTTCCCCAGAGCTGACCACCCAGCTCCCCCCATCCCCGCCCCAAGCTCCCACACCACATGGTGCTTTTCTTGTCTGCGTCTCAGCTGCTTCATTTGGGACCCTTAAGCACTTAAAAATTTTTCTTTATGCTTTCAACCAGACATTGAATACGAATTCCATATTATCAAGTATTTCCTGAGTTTTTAAAAGTAGGAAGACTGACATGATCTTATAAAAGCCAGGATGCCAAAAACAAAAAGCTCTAGGGTCGTGTTTTGCACATACTTTTTTTTTATTTGTTGAATAAATGAATATTTGTCGATATGTACATAACCACAAAGAGCGAGCACTAGATTTAGAGCAAAATATTTGGGTTCTAATACTCAAAGCCACTCGCCAGATAGGAGGGCTTAGGCAAAGAACGTCATCAGAGCTCGGCTTCCTCAACTGTAAATCTAGGCTGTACAGACCTGCGCGGCCTCCACGCAGGCTTATTGCAAGGTTCCAATGCAGAAGCAATGTGAAAGTGCCAAGAATACGACTTAGAGCAATACAAACAAAACAAGGAACAGCGGTCCAACTTCAAGTGGAGGAATACTTCGTCACACCCTCCGATTGTACCGATGTACGGATGGAGTCAACGAGAAAGTGACAGAACAGCTGGTGACTGAGGAGAACGAGGAGGCCATTCTTCAGAATGGAAAGAATTCTGCAGCATCCGGTAGTCTATGCCATCCAGCAATGCATCGCTTCCTAAACTCCAGGGAGGGTCAGCCCCACCATCAATAACTCTCTCATAGAAGCACAAGGCCAAATGTCTCATGTTTATTTACATGTGAAATGTGTTGAATACAGTCATGATAGGTGTGGGGCCTACACCTGACAGCAGCAAGACCTTTTGAGGAACCAAACATCGACTACAGTCTATCATGCAAGTATCTATATATACACAAAAGAATTCCTTTTCATAGGGGGGAAAAAAAATAAGAGTATAAAACATGTTCAGGGATAAGTACAAGGTATAAAATGCAAAAGAAAACACAAAACTCAAAGACAAAAATATTATATATATACACATATATACGTATATATAATATATATATATAATATGTTTATAACTCTCCCAGAGAACTATGAACGGAAGGGACAGAAGAGCACCTGTGTGGTGCCTCAGCTAACAGAACCACGAACAGGAGCTACACTACTGAAATGCTGAAGGAAAGCCGGTGGTGGCTCAGTGCGTCATCTAATGGCCAATCGCCCAATGCAGCAGGCTCCTGCACTGACAGCTCGGTGGTTGAAGTTGTGCATCCCAACTCTAAGTACCAGAACGTTTGGCAGTAGCACCCAGAACAGGAAACGCCAACTGTGTAGACGGCAAAGGGGTAAGTCAACTATTGACTTTTTTTTTTCCCCCATCAAGAGCCAGAGAGAAATACTTGATACTCGTAGTTGTTGTGTTTGTAATAGGTAATAAGTTACATGACAGTTAACCTGACTAGACGGAGCTAGGTCTGACTCTCCAGGTATAACTTTTACAGTAGTCCAGCCCTTTCCTGGCGTATCTCCTTGTGCTCTTTAAATCAGCCTTGCCTATCTGCCTGGAAAACCATCAGGCCTGGTTTTCCCCATTCTGCAATTCCCTCCTTCCCCGTTTCTTAGGATGGAACTGAGGAAGTCTACATTCCTCACTGGATTCTGGCCTGCTGTAGCCAGCCCTGGGGACAGAGGAGGCCCTGCAAGGCTGCTTTGGCTGCCACTGGGCACGGCCTGACCGGAGGCCAGGTGCCCACGGGAGCGGGGTATCCCCCCCAGCACCCTGGCTTCCTTGGGGGCAGGCACGCTGGGGTGGTGCTAAGACACTTCAAAGTTTCTAGTGTTGTGAGAGCCACAACCACCTACAAATTATGTAGTGGATTCTAAAAAACTTAAAAACACTAAAAAAAGGCATCACATTAGTTAGCCTGTTACTTGGTCAGCAACCCATTCCAATTGGTGGCCATACAAAAAGGGTTGGGTTGGAATTCAGGAACTGCCCCTAGGACTAAGAACTCTGTTATAAAGAAACGGTACAAAAAGAAAGGAAGAAAAACAAACATCGAAACCCATCTGAACAAACCAACCAACAACAACAACAACAACAACAAAAGACACCTCAAAACATCTTCTACTAAATACTGATACAAACATGTAACAAAGAGTATAAAAAGTTGTCATTTAAATATATACAAACTCTTTTCAACGCAAATACTGTGTGGATGCTCCGGGGCGTGGCGGAGGGCGGCGAGGGCGGGATATTGCAGCAGCCTGGACCGTGCGCGGCGGGGGCTATTTGTCGGCGGCGCTCATCCTCTTGGACTTGATGAAGGCCATGCCGTGGGTGCGCATGTGCGTGTTTAAGGCAGCTTCCGTTTCAAAGGTCTTGGCGCACACTTTGCACTTGCGGTCCGACACGGCGCCGTCGGCGGCCTCGTCGTCGGGGCCCGGCTGGTTCTCCTGCTGGCCGTCCTCGCCGGCCCCGTTCTGCTTGGTGGCGGGCTGCGGCTCCTTGAGCTTGTGCACGATGAAGAGGTGCCGGGACAGGGACACGTGCGACGTGTAGCACAGGCCGCACTCGCGGCACTGGTAGGACGAGCCGTCCGACTTGTGCTGCGGGATGTGCTCGTGGAACTGCAGCAGGTTCTCCGTGGTGAAGCCGCACACCGCGCACTTGTGCACCTTGAACACGTTGATCTTCAGCTTCTTCAGGGGCTGCGTGATGGCGCCCCGCGGGGGCCGGAACTCCAGAACCGGCTCTTCCAACTTGCGCTTGGGACTGGGAGCCTGCAAGGGAGGGAGGGGGTGAAGAACGAGACGGGGTGACCCGGCAGGGAAGCAGCGGAGGGACCCAGGGAGGCCCAAGCCAGAAGGGGAGCTTGTAAAGAGGGGTATTTTATGCCTTCATAGGTAGAAAGTAATGTTTAACACTGTGTAATTGCCACCCAGCGCCGGTGGCTCACGCCTGTAATCCCAGCTACTCAGGAGGCTGAGATCTGAGCATCATGGTTCAAAGCCAGCCCGGGCAGGTTAAGTCGGGAGCCTCTTATCTCCAATTAACCATTCAAAAAGTGGAAGTGGTGCTGTGTACCACACTAGCCTTGAGCAAAACTGACTCAGGGACAGCACTCAGGCCCTGAGTTCAAGCCCAAATGTAGGGGAAGGGAATGAGCAGAGAAAGAAAGAACAACCCTGGTACAGGAAAGAGGTGCAGTGTCTCACCTTCGTGTCTTCCTTTATTTCCACTTCCTCCTCGTTGGTGGCCTCTGTCATTTCTTTCAGGTCAGGGTCCTTGATCCCATGCATGAGCTGAACGTGCTTCTCCAGCATCAGCCGTTTGGTGAAAGTCCGCCGCGAGTCCGGGCAGTGCCTGCGGAGCACAAGGCAGGAGGAAAACACTATCACTGCCATGTAGCTTCTGGCTAGCAGAACTCGCACCCAGGTCAGGAGGGCTGATTAACATCAGGGCTGCACATGAAGAACAAGCCAGTCCCTGGGCTAAGCACCTCCCTCGAAATGGCTACTGTATAAAGCTCGATTGGTTTAGTGCTTCTTAGGAAGTCTTATGGAAGTGCATTACTTGTTTGCCTAACTTGTACTTCTCCACTGCCTTGTAAAGGAATTACACTTCCCAAGGTTTCTTTAGCATGGCTCGGAGAATGCCCGCAGAACAGACATCATGTCACGTGCCTCAGGCTGAAAATAGCCCACTGCGGACCTGGCCCTGATGCTGTTCAACTGTCCCTGTCCCCTCTGTGTGACAAGACAGCGCTGACGACCCATCAGAACACAGATGGACGCACGTGCTCATCATCACAGCCCTTGAGAACATTTGTTCACTGGGCTAAAATGTAGAAAATAGAACATTTATCTAAGGCAGGAAAATTATTTACGTTTTATAGATTAGGAAGGCAGCTTCTTTGAAAGGTGTAAAATGACTGTTTCTCAATAAGACAATTTTGGCCAAAAGCACACCAGCCATCGTCCCCGAGGCTCTGTGACGATGGCTGATGTCCATCACACAGAGAAGAGCAGCAAGTGGCGAGGGGGGTGGAACGCATCTTGTGCTCTTATGCACAACCACAACTGCTCCCTCTGAAAGCCTTCACGGGGTTCTGTGATGACTGGCAGCGAACGCATCCCAGCCCCCACACAAATGCTCTCCATCAGCCAGATGCCGGTGGCTCACGCTTGTAATCCTAGAATTCAGGAGGCTGAGATCTGAGGATCATGGTTCAAAGCCAGACCGGGCAGGAAACTCCGTGAGACTCTTATTTCCAATAAACCACCAGAAAACTGGAAGTGGCGCTGTGGCTCCAACGGTAAAGCGCTAGCCTTGAGCTGAAGAGCTGAGGGACAGCGCCCAAGCCCAGAGTTCAAGCCCCACAACGGACAAAAAATAAAATAAAAATGCTCTCCCATCAAGTGCTTGCTGGAAGTAAACCTGACATTTTACTGCCTTACAGGGACCTCACAGGACCCAGGTGGCCTCCTTTTCCTCTCCTTCTCAGCCCAGGGCATCTTCTTTTTATTCAGTCAGCATACATGCTTTAGTTATATAATACAGCTTACTAGAATCCCTCTCCACCTTGATACTCTTCTTACCCAGGAAACAAAGTTCCAGAACACTCTTCCTCACCCAGCAGCTATCTATCTATGGGGCCCCAGCACCTGCCCCCACCAGGTTTTTGCCACATTACACTCATGCTAAGGAGTCATCTTGAGGGCCCTCAGTTCTGGCTTGTAGGTGATAAAGACTCTCCACCAGCCATAATAAAGCTCATCCTGGTCACCTCTATCAAGAACTGGCTTACGTGTAGCCAGGGAGGGTTTCCATGGGCCCTTCAGCCCCTTGCACTTGTCTGGTGTCTGTCAATGGTTTCAGTCTGCCTCACGTCTGCCTTAGGTAGCAGACTGTACTTGGGCATGGAGTATGTGAGGAACTGCTGCCACTTCACCCTTTCTCTGTCTCTGCCCAATGAAAAATGCTGTGTGCCAACCAAAATTAAACACTGTAAAAACTGTAAGCTGGAAACCAGGGCATTCAGAGGTAGACAGCAAGAAGGGATGATCTTTTGAGATGTTCTGATGGTATGTCCACGGTACTTTCATGTTAGAAAGCACAGACTGACCTTGACCCTGAAGATGGCCGGAGGTAAACTCGGGCGCCCTGATCATGTGGCCTCAGGCCACGCAATCTCCTTTCTCTGTCCTAATAAACTTTCCTGTCACTTAAAGGCCAAGGAAAGGAGCCGCGACTTACGAGCAGGTGTAGACTTTCCTGATGCCTTTGTGCTTGATCCGATTGTGGCGGCATAGGCTGTGGGAGGAGCTGAAGGACTTGTCGCACTGGCGGCAAGGGTGCTTCTTCATTTGCTGTGTCAGGAGAGAAGAGAAGGCCATTTGAGGCAGTGAAGAGAAAAACACTATTTTATCTCCTTATTTCTGGCAGTGCTAGGGATCCATCTGGAGGCCTCATGCATGCTAGCAAGTGCTTCAACACTGACTAAACTACACCCCCAGACCTAAAAATACTGCAAGAACTTAAAGGATGCCCATCATGGTCTAAGTCCAGTAATCACTGCTTAGGAAAGTATCAATAAAACACAAGGTTCTTTTTAAAGATGTAATTAGAATGGATCCTCAGTACCACACTATTGAGGAAAGGACTAATTTCAGGAAGATAGGCTAAAACTACCTAAGAGATTACCCCCTTTCCCAGTACTTTATTTAATCTGACACAAATACACAGATGTTTTAATAACAGCACATAATATAATTTTTTTACAAAAGACTAATACTAGTATTTAAAATATCAAGAAAAATATACTTTAACAAATAACAAATTACGACTATTACTTGATGTGTTGTAAATATAAGATGCCACTTTTTCCAGTGGCTGATTATAAACACTTCTTAAACTTTCCTCTTTAATGACTAAATTATTCAGTATAGGAATAAGGGCTTTTGTTCCGCACACTGTCATTACAGAGAACGCTGGAGTCACTTTCAGGATGTATGTGTAGGGTGATGTGAGAGAGAGATTCAGAGTTGACACATTCACAAATGCGCTATCAAGTAGATCGAATAACTTTCCACGTTTACGTTTCCACTTTGGTGAAGACATAGCTATGCTAAGTGTGTGTCCATGAAGAATCTTTGAAATAGATTAGAGGCTTAGCTTTAAAACAAATTCTTTTGAGTATGACATTCTTCAAGCAGCCTTGTCACAAGGAAACAGAATCCTAAGAGCTGACACAATGGAGCATGAAAATGAACTCCTGGAAACGGAAACAAGAAAAAAAAAAATCCCCCACAATTTGGCATGGACCCTCATTAAAAATAAGGCTGAAAATCAGTCCTCATGTGAGATAATATTACCATTCTTGGCAGCAAGAGAGCTACACATGCAACTACAAGATAACGGAGGAAGAAATCATATTTCTGAAAACTTCAATTAATTAGCCGACAAGTGCGTCTATATTTAATCTGATGAGCAGCGTCTGGCTGGACAGAACCAAAGAGAGGCTGACACCAAGGCCAGACAGAGTGTGACAGAGTACAGCTACACAGTAGTCACTTCCTCACCTAGGAGGTGGGGGGGGGGGGGGAGGTGTCACAAACATGCCTTCCTTGTCCAGGTGTGGTGCTTTAAGCCTGTGATCACAGCCACTTGGAAGCAGAGATTGAGGATTGTGGTTGAAGGTCAGATGAGGCATAACAATTTGTGAGATTCTGTCTCAACCCCTGTCTGGATACAGTGGTGTATGACTGTCATCCGGGCAACAAAGGGAGAAGCACAGACTAGCCCAGCAATTAAAGCAAGACATTACCTCGAAAATAACTCCTGTAAAACAGCAAGTGGCTCAACTGGTAGAGTGTTTGCCTCGTAAGCACTAGGCCCTCAACTCAATCCTCAGTACCACCAATGCCTTATACTGTTTTCCTTGGCATATAATTTGAGGGGAAAAATAAAGTGTTATGGGATAGTAATCCCTCTGTAAATACTTCAATAATAAAATTGTATTTTTTAAAAAAGAATAAACTGGGCTGGGAAGGTGGCTCAGTGGTAGAGCGCTAGCCTTGCATGCTCGAGGTCCTGGGTTCGATTCCTCAGCACCACATAAGCAAAAAGAAAAAAGCCAGAAGTGGCGCTGTGGCTCAAGTGGTAGAGCGCTAGCCTTGAGCTGAAGAGCTGAGGGACGGCGCCCAGACCCAGAGTTCAGGCCCCACGACCAGACCCTCCCCCCCCCAAAAAAAGAATAAAGTGACCAGTTATGCATCACATTATGCTTCATCCTCACCCAAAGAGATTTCTTCATAAACATTTTTGATCACATAAATACACTGTCAGCAATCCCTGATCTATTTATGTAGCCAAAGAATGAGGAAGGGGCAATAGGTCTTTATTAAAGGAAAGCCTGAAGTACAGATGCATGAATAATAGCTTTATGTCTCAATCATGGTTTTTAAAAAGCAAATACTTCATCTTTTTCTAATTGTGTATGTATGTATATATGACAACAATATTAAGACTGATCCAAAAGGCCAAAACACAGCCATCTTTTTTAAAAGACTGCTTTGGGAAACATTCCTTATGGATGCTGAGAAAGGAAATACACCTTTCCTGGTAAAAGTGCAAGAGCGGCCTTGTTCTCAAGGTGTTTAAGATCCCACGTCTTGCTACATAGTTATACTAACATCGCAGCAAAACCTGCATGGAGCAATACTGGAACCAGTCCTCAGAGAGTAGAAAGTCTGTTCTCACACCGCACACAAGCATAAGCTACCCTCCTCTCTCTTATCTTCAGGAAAGCACACAGAACTGAGCTGTACAATCTCCAAACAGGCAGGACTTCAGCTTTACTGGTGACAAGAAAATGAGAGAGCTCAATGTTGCTTTCCAGATCAAGACAAGTGCCATTCTTCTTCCCTGTTAAACTTCAAATTCGCATCCAAGTATGCTTTAGGGATTTTTTTTTATAACTCTCTATCTTCAAAACTATGATTCACAGCAGCTAGCTACTTTATGACACCAAAAACAACTTTGATAAATCAGAAAGAGACAGAAGAACAGGCCGGACATAGTAGTATATGACTGTAATCTCAGCAGAAGAATGGGGAGCTTCAGTTTGAGGCCAGCTGGGGCTACAAGGCACAACCCACTTTCAAAAAACCAAAAACACAGCAACTAAAGAAAAAACACAGACCAACGAAAACCAGTGTGAAGAAGGTGTGAAGGCTGTCGTTCTGTGTCTAGGATGCTTCTGGCTTTTGCTTTCCTTCTGGCTTCATGTAGAAGTGGAGAGAGAAGAAAGAGTCTGAGGAGGCTTTGGACCATTAACAGAAAAGGAGCATGTCTTTTCACACAATGTCCAGTTACTCTGCTTGCTGAGTGGTACTCTTGAGAGAAACAACTTGCCAGCAGGCAAGAGCCCAAAAATGCTCACACGGAGCTGGAGAACAAGGTGTCCACTTCCTAAACTTTATCCCTGATCTCTGACTCCCCGCGCATCCCAACTTCACTGCTTCATTCTGCTCGCAAACCCTCTGCTGTGAGGGGCAGAGGGGGAGAGACCCAGCTCAGTGCTGCGACCCCTCCCGTGGAGGCTGTGGGGAGCGTGCCTTGGTTTGCCACTGGCTCTCCCACAGCAGACACTGTGAGAGTGAAAGGGACCCCAACCTCGCCTGCGCATCTGGAGAGACCCCTGGCCTTTCGTGAGAGCCCTGCTTCACCTCCTCGCGGCCTCAGCCTTACTTCCGCAGGAAGGGGTTCCTTACGCCCACAACCTACAACACCAGGCGAACACTGTTCTCCAGCCACGTCCACACAAACCCTTCGGCTGCCACTACACTCTGTGAAAAAAGGACACACAAAACCAATTCCACATCTGAAGTGTTTCACAGCCATAGTCCCTCAGAATTCTAAGTTCTGAACGCTTCCATTTGGGATCTGTCCTACGATGAGACACCCCACTCCAGGGGGTACATGCCAAGTCTCCCAAAGGCTGCCTGAAGCCTTGATCAGCACTGGAGCCCGTGTGGACTAAGTTCTTCCACATACTGGGGCTACTTGTCTGTGATGGGGTTGCCACCCTAAGTGGAAAATGCACTTAGTACCCAAATAAATCCATTATAAACTTGAAAGACTGAAAGCCAAACCACTGAATATTGAGGACAGTCTGGACATACACACTTATGATAAACTCTGATCTTTTTTTAAATTTCAGTACCTTTAAGTAGTTGTACAAAGAGTTGCCATTTAACCAAGGAGTTCATGAACACAACTTGTCTTCATCAGGGTCCCGCCTGTCAACATTCTCACCCAGCCCTCCTCTCTCCATCCCTTCCCTTACTCTTCATTCTGTGGGATATACACTGCATTCTTGACTGCATCCTCCACTTCTTCATTTGTCTACCCCTCTACCCTCGACCCCAACCCATCCCTTTCAAGTACTCACTTCCTGGAGTTTTATTTTGCTGAGCTTTGACTTGAAGCAAATGGTTAACAATGAATAAAACAGAACAAATCAAGCTCTAACGAGACGTGCATAGGGTCTCCCCTTCTCCTCCAAAAGAACCAATGTATTTTCACCTCACTTAATGAAGCACATTTTGGCATCTCTGCACTGCCAGTATCACAACTCTTGTACTTTGGGGACATAATTAGACAAATAAAGGCTACTACTGTACAAAACTATAACCGTTGACCTGATAAGCAAGATAGTGACAAATGGCAGACAGTATAGTATTTACATATAGATAGATAATCAATCTCCAAAACTGGAAATGCTGGACAAAGGGATGATTCAGTTCCTCGGAGGGAAGACTTAAGTAGGACAGTACAAGATGTTGTCATATTACTCAGAATGACATACAACTTAAAAATGGATTTGTTTCTAGAATTTTCCACTAGATGGTAGATGGGGATCACCATATTTGTATAAAGAAACTTCTTATAAGACTTAGTGATTATGGGTAGTAAAAGAGCACACACGTGCATGTACACACACATACACACACACACACATACACACACACATACCTTGCTGCATTCTTCCCTATTTGGATTTTTCTTTCTTTCTTTCTTTTTTTTTTTTTTTTGGGGGGGGGGTCAGTCATGGGGCTTGAACTCTGGGTCTGGGCGCTGTCCCTCAGCTCTTCAGCTCAAGGGGAACATTCTACCACTTGAGCCACAGTGCCACTTCCAGTTTTCTGGTGGTTTATTGGAGATAAGAATCTCATGGACTTTCCTGCCTGGGCTGGCTTTGAACTGCGATCCTCAGATCTCAGCCTCCTGCGTAGCTAGGATTACAGGTGTAAGCCATCAGCGCCTGGCCCTATTTGGATTTTTAAAACATGTGACTGTAGTACAT